TTTTTTTTATCTGTCCTCCTTTCCATTTAAGGAAAGTTTTTGCTCTAAATATACCTTTATATCCCAACTTTTATTATCATTACCCCTTTCTTTTTCCTACTTTTTCATAATCCCACTACTCATTACACCTTTTACACTACCCCTACTACTAGGGGTGGACTGAACCGGGCCGGTTCGGGCCTTGGGCCTGGGCCCGGCCGGGCCTCGGTTCAGAATATTGAGGCCCGAGCCCGAACCGGGGGTGGCCGGTTCCGGGCCGGGCCACGCGCCCTATTTTTTTTTTTTGGCTTCTTTATTTAATCCCCTACCCCTCTTTCTCAACCCCAAACCACCCCAAACCACCTCAAATGGACCAAAATACCTAATCTAACCCAAAACATAAAAAAAATTCAAAAAAAAAATAAAAAAAAAATTATTTCCGGCCCGGACCGGTTCACCATATGGAAGGCCCCGGCCCGGAACCGGGAACCACCGGGCCGGTTCGACCCGAACCGCCGGTGGACCGGGCCACCGGGCCGGGCCGGTTGCTACATTGGCCGGGCCGGGCCGGTTCCGGGTCGGGCCGCCCGGCCCGAGTCCAGGCCTACCTACTACTTTCCTCTTAAAACTCGTGCCAAAGCCTAAGAGGACTAATATTAAAGAGCGGAGGGAGTATATTGGATTAGATTAAATAAGCTAAAATTTGAATTTAAAGCCACTTTGAAATTGCTTTATAGAACTTAGAAAAGGCAAGGCGGTACAAAATACTCCCTCTGTCCCATTTATATTGTCCCGGAAGAGGGTGACACGGTTAGGGGTGGTTCGGTACGGTATATCTTATATTTTTTCTCATACCTTTGCCGTACCAAAACTTTCGATATGCAAAATTTGCATACCTTTACCTTACCGAAATTTCGGTATACCGCATTTCGGTATACCGAAGTTTTGGTTCGGTAACGGTACGGTATCGGTAAATTACCATGCATGTATCCCAATACAAAAAATTATCATAGACTAACGAAATATACTAAATCGTTATTACTAGCGACATATTAAATCATTATTTAAATGTTACGAAATACAATTAATAATCTATTGATGTCAATTCAATATTGAACAATAATTATTAGTATATTTAAGCAATTCAACATGTCACATATTAAAAAGTAACACATTTTACTAAAATAACTTGAACAATATAGATATAATTAAACCAATAGTGATCTCTAACAAAAATAAATACAACTATTCAAACAACATGGATATAAAATCATTTATTCTTAATATGATATTGTGTATTTAGTCATTTTTATAATTTTTTAAAAATTGAACAAGACTTTCGTACAAAGTTGTGTGTCTCGACTCGCGAAATCCCTATGTAGATACACTTGTCACATAAGTGTATCTCTCTTCACTCGTCAGCTACGTAGCGGCCCAGCCATCACGACTTGCAAGCTCTTGGAACAAGATGAACTTGTTTCTTGACATTTGTACATTACTCATTAGTCATTAAGGTTAGAATAGTAGAAGCCTATAAGGTTATAGTGGGTTTGAGAAATTAGGCATTTATTTTTGTATCTTTGTATTTGTAACCAACTTAAGTATTAATTTTGGGCTTCAAAATTGTAATAGATTTCTACAATATATTAGAATTAAAAGTAATTGTTGAGTAGAGAGTCGGTACGGTATTATACCGGTATACCGCGGTATTTGAAAACATTTACCGTTACCGTACCGAAATAGATCGGTACGGTATGATACCGTACCAAAAATGACGGTATACCAATATTTCGGTATTTTCCGGTATTTTTCGGTACAATAAGTGCGGTATACCGATATTTCGGTATTTTTGCCCACCCCTAGACACGGTTATTAAGAAAAGTGGGTTTGTGTGGTTAATATTAATTGATAAAGTAAGAATAAAGTAAGAATGATTTAGAGCCACACAAACTTTGCCAAATATGGTATGAGACAATATAAGTAGGACTTCCCGAAAAGGTAAAACAGGATAAAATAAATGAGACGGAGGGAGTACTATTTATAAAAAGAACAAAGGTGAGGTTCGATCCCTACCTATTACGTAGTAACAAATACGGAGTACGAAGTACTTGCGGTCTTGCGCGTATGAAAACATCCACCAGTGAAATTGAGTTGCAATAGCTTTTTATACTTTTGTGAGTTTTGTCTTTATACTTTTGTGAGTTTTGTCCTTATTATTCCGTATTATATAAGGTACCTATTTTTAATACATATCCACATCTATTGTTTTATATAGTAAAACACAGTTATGAATCGCTGACGTGTCAATCTATTATTGGACAACTAGAAGTGTTTAATATCATTATTTTAAGAACATTTAATTAATTTCAATTAATAAATATTTTCGGCTGATTGTAGAAACACGTACAAATAGGACTCTTACTTAATTGGATATAGATATTCTTTTTGGTAAAGGAACAGGACATATATATATACGCTGAGTACAACCAGGAGATTAATATCATTGATACATCATGTGTTTGATAAAATATTTCAGTCTGATAGGACTTTAATTTGGATCGGAGATACATTTTAGGAAACTAATTTCAAATACATTTAGGTCCCTTTTGGTAACATTGAAACGAATTAATTCAACTAGGATGTTTTCTTTTGGACTGAAATTTGCTGGTCTGGTCTGGTCTGTTTAAGTCTGGTCTGAATTGGTCTGATCTGGTCTGGTAAACGTCTGGTCTCTGTGTATTTTATAACTACGGAAGTCTGGTCTGGTCTGGTCTGGCCTGTTTAAGTCTGGTCTGGTCTGCTCTGGTCTGGTCTGTTTAAGTCTGGTCTGGTTTGGGACTGAAAACAGTCCAAAAAAAACATTCTAAAACTGCTAAAATTTATGAAATCTGAATGAAATGGTTGAATCTTGTGAATTATGAGAACACATCATATTGAATACATGGACGATTTTGTCAATAAAATTAAGAAAACATTAAATTAAAAATAGCTAAATAGGACTCAAATTTAAAAATCCCCTAAATAGGAGTTATTATTTGTAACTAGACAACAACACCCTTGAAGCTTGGAAATCGTACTGGTGCCTACCAGAACGCCGGACCACTGCCGGTCGCCGGTACCAGTCGCCGGTACCCGCCACCGGTCGCCGCCGGTCGCCGCCACCCCAAAAACGGCCGCCGTTTCAGATCTGACTGCCGCCGCTGTACATATGGCTGTTGCCACTGCAGTAACGGGCGTCGTCGTTCCACCGGCCGCCAACCACTGCCTTTGTAGATCTAGCCACCATCCCAAGTAAGCTGGCAATCCTGGCATCAAACACTCAAATCTGGCCTGTATCATTGTGGATCTGGTTGTTGCCGACACAAATGTAAAAAAAAATATCTAAATGCCAACATGAATCTAGAATGTCATTTTAATGTCATTTTCAAATAAAAATATCAATTTTTTGTTGAATAAGAATGCCACTTTGATGGCATTTTCAGAGTTGAACTTGGCAGTTTTTACTAATCAAAGAAGAAATGGAGCATATGCAATGAAGTAGAAGAGGGGAAGAGAGAACTAGAGACGAGGGAGGGAAGGACGGGAAGAACAATCAAAGAAGAGGTAGAGAACATGATCTTCGAAGAAGAGAAGAAGATCTCCTGCAGCGGCGGACTTCGTGTCAATGGCGGCGATGACTGGACAGCGGCGTCGGACTTCGCGTCAACTGCGGCGGGCTTCGAAGGTAAAGGGAAGGAGAAGAAGATGTGAGGGGAAGGGAGAAGAAGCTGCTTAGGCAGAGAGGATGCGTAGGGGAGAAGAGATGCGCAGGAGGGGGAAAGAAGAATGCGCAGGAGGGGGAGAGATGAATGCGATGCGTGCGTTTAGAGGAAAAACAGGGGCAAATTTGTAATCTAATCCTATTTATGGCAAAAAATTATGCATACTCCTATTTGGGAATTTCAGGAATAATTTAGTCCCATTTAGGTCAATAAATCTTAAAAATAGAGATGATCAAACGGGTTCTTAATATCATCCCACTACAAAATAAATACAATCGATGTAAATTAACCAATAAAAAAATTGCTAATAAAGTTAAAACGCCCCCCAAATTAAAATTTTACACCAAAAAAAAACTATTCATAAATTTTGAATGAAAATATACAAAGTATTTCAATTTTAATTCAAGAAAATGTGAGTCTAATTGGCAGAGGTATTATATCATCAATTTCCATATAATTTTTAAGTATATTGATGTTTATTAAAGTTTTTAATCTGAAATTAACAAAAATTAAACCAATAAATTCACAACCCCGTTTTATTAATGTTTGAAATCTAATACTAACTTTATTAATATAGTTGTTAAATTTAAATAATTTATCCACATATATTTTTAAATAAATTGTCTAATAAACATTCTCTAATAAAGTTAAAACTCATATTCCTATATATTTTTATCCGTATAATTACGCAAGTAGGTTTCCTAACTTTGATAAGTGTTTATTAAAGTTAATATATTTATTTGTATTATTGTATCGTAATTTAGACTGCCTACTAAATGTTATTCAAAACCTTTAATTAACTTTAAAATTTTTTAACTAAAACGTCATACATATACAATTTATTAATGTCGCTTTATAAATGAGGGTGAAAATCGGCCTTAAAAAATATACACCGATTTTGTTCGATGTTAAAATTGTTAATTAAGAGTTTTGAGTAGAAATGGGTTGAACGTTTTGTTCGATGGAGGAGAATGATGCAATACAACAACTAATATTGGGTATATAGGAGAAGTCTTTCAAAATGTATAATTTTTATTTTAAAGAAATTTATAATATTTTCATTCTCCTCCAATTTTATTTGCATAGTATGACCCTTTTCAAGTAATGTGTTCATTAACAGAAAAGAATAATAACAGTATTAATAAGAATAAGTCTAAAATCAAAATAATAATAAATCATACGGAGTATATAAATTAATTTTTGAAAATCATATTTCTAAACAAAATATTAGTAAAGATATTCATTTTTAACGTAGCATTACAAATTCTATTAACAAGGTATGTAAATAATTTATAGTCTCAATCTATTGATAAATTATCACTTTAATTTGTATTAACATGATATTATACCGGGTGTTACACTAGTATACACTATTTTTTATTTGATATTCTGTATATATATAGGGGTTGGGTGGGGTTGGGTGGGGCAGCTGCCCCCTGCCCCACGTTGGATTCGCTCCTGATTCTTCCCTAGTTCCCTGTGAATCTCGAATCAAAGCACCGCCGGTGGATTTCCCATGAGTGTAAGATGCATCTACATTCAATTTAATTTGATTTACTGGTTTCATCCATCTCACCAAAATAAACTTCCTTTTAATCTTCTTGAAATCAGATGAAATCATGTTTTCTGAGATTAAGATTTCAAACCCACTGTTACTCTTTAATCCTTTAATGCTACCTGACCAGTCTTGGGTGAATCTCAATCTGAAATATCATCTCTGCCGTAGATGGGGCCGTAGGAAGCTTTCCCCAATTCATAGGTGAATATGCTTTCCATAAATGCCGAGATATAATTCCTGGCATGTTCTGCTTAAAGATTCCAAACAGTGAATTCTTATCTGCTTCCATCCACCAAGCGAATAGAACCTGTCTGATAGTAATCTGTCCCCTAGGCGGAGAGATATCAAATAAGGTCATAAAACATTTCCAAACATCTGCCACCACAGGACATAGGTAGAAAATATGATCAACTTAATCTGAGTTCTGTTTGCAAATTGGGCAAATTGATGGATATATTAGAGCATTAAACCTTATAAGATTATCAGAAATCGGGAGCATTTTGTTTATCAATTTCCATTGAAAAATCTTAATCTGGTTCGCTTGGTTTCTGTCCCAGATTTGCTTAGCAGTAAAGGTTGCTGATCTCCTCCATCGAACCTCATGAAAAGCAGAATTGAGGGAGAAATGGCCCTCCTTTTCAGGAAGCCACAGAAGATTACCATTTGCATCTTCCCCTGTAAGACATTCACCTCTATCATTAATATGACAAATTCTTCTCCATATAGTGGAATCCGATACCTTAGGAAGCATATTTGATCCCCTAGGATATCTCAAATTACAGAATCGTGCCCACAAAGATTTATTATTTTTCCATTTCCACCATAATTTCAAGGAAAATGCTTTCTCAATATCAGAAAGTAATCTGATGCCCAACCCCCCCTCTTCAGTAGGCAGACACATCCCCTTCCAATTTTTCCAATGATATTTGTTTTTGCCATTTGAAGAACCCCAAAAGAAATGAGCCATATTCCTTTCCAAGATTCTGATCACAGATTTTGGAAGAGTATCGGCAGCCATAAAATGAAGTGGAATAGTATTAAGAACATGTTTTATAAGCATAAGCCTTCCACTCTGATTCAGATGCTTCTGTTTCCATATTAAAAGTTTATGATCAAATTTCTTGATTAACTCCTTGCAATAAATATGTCTATTCATACCTTTGTGTAAATAGGAGCCCAGGTATTTCAATGGAAGAGATGTCTTTGTCATCCCCAGTAGGTTTTCAATATTGGAAATGCGTCTGGCAGGTATATTTCCAGAAACAAATGTACTTTTGCTGAAGTTAACTGCTTGGCCTGACACATTTTGATAAGAATCCAAAAACCTTTTAAAAGCCAAAATAGATCTAGCTTCACCATTAATAAATATCAGCAGGTCATCGGCGAATCCCAAATGAGTGATAGGGTAGCCAGAACATCCCATCCAATAAGGCTTAATATATCCTTCATTAACAGCAGATTTTAGCCCTCTTGTAAATACTTCTGATGCTATAATGAATAACAGAGGAGAAAGGGGATCCCCTTGCTTCACTCCTCGCAAAGGTTTAAAAAAACCATGGGGTCTACCATTTACTAGTACAGATAAGTGAGTACTTTGAAGGAAATTTATAATAATGAATATAAAATGACTGCTAAAACCAAATCTTTCCAAAACCTGCTTTAGAAAAGGCCATGAAACTCTGTCAAAGGCTTTCGTCATATCCAATTTGATAACTAAATTGCCCCCTCTCACTTTTTTATAAAGAGCATGCACCATCTCTTGAGCAATAAGTAGGATATGATCTGAAATTTCCTTGTGTTTCATGAATCCAGCTTGTTCCTCTGATATGATTTTTGGAAGCATGTCAGTAAGTCTTGAAGCTAGGACCCTAGTACACACCTTGCTAATAAAAGTGGACAAGCATATAGGCCTAAAGGACCCTAGTCCACACCTTGCTAATAAAAGTGGCCAAGCATATAGGCCTAAAATTCGTAAAAGATTTAGGCCTATCCACCTTAGGAATAAGAACAATCAATGAACTGCCCATAGTTTGTGGTATAACTTGCCCTAAGAAAAAATCTTGAACAGCCAATAGCACATCATTACCAACAATATCCCAACATTTTCTAAAAAATTGTCCATTGAAACCATCAGGACCTGGAGCACTATTTTTATTTAACCCCCAGACTGCTTCACTTCTTCCTTTGATGGGATTCTTAAAAGGGCATCATTATCCTCCTGTGTAACAATCTGTGTGATGTGTTGTAGGATTCCAGAATCAGAGACAGCATGCAGATTGTTGTCTTCTTGGAATAATTGAGAGAAAAATTCAACAACAGCTTTGCCTATAGCCTCCTGATCAAAGAGCTCAACACCAGATAAGTCTTCAATCTGAGAAATAAATTGCATTTTCCTTCTAACCTTCACATAAGAGTGAAAATACTCTGTGTTAGCATCTCCTTCTTTAAGCCATTTAATACGTGCTTTCTGTTTCCAGAAAGTATGTAACTGTTTGTATTTGGCTAAAATAATACTTTGTTTCAATGTACCAGGGAGCGTCTCATAGGACACATGTCACACGGAGAGGGAAGGTCAAGCCATCATGACTGATACCTAGAGAAATCAACCGTCAGCCGGAAAACTGTCAAATCCACGCATCGCGAACACCTTATGACGTGTTCTCGCACATTCGCATTTAATCGTTAAATTCAAATGATGAAATAAATTTGACATTTAATTTCATTTTTCCGTTCCTGTAGAGACGATAAACATATTTTTACTCTACACGGCTACAAATATTTTAAACGCGAGACACATCATGTATAGATATGTGTTGTTTATGTTTTAGAAATTAGGTACTTCAAAATTCTTATTGAGCCAGGCAAATCAATATTGAGCCATGCAAAATGAATTTAGTGCAGTAGGGTTACAAATGGATTACTACACAAAAGTATATACTTAAGGCACATAATGATTGTATAGAGGTAATAATAAAATTGCTATAATATAATATAGTTACCAAACTGGAACGAACAAGTAACAACTTTGTTTAAAAACAGTAGTAAACATCAATAAGAACTACTCAATCTTCTTTGTTTAATCAAAACCTCCTTTGCTAGTTTGCTCCTTTAATCTGCTTACCAGATCCCTTACTCTTTGCTTGTTTACGAGGATAAACACTCATTTGAGCAAGAGCAGCAACACCATAAAAACCTTATGTGACACGAGGCCGAATGACACCACATATTTTGTTTTTACTTATGTCTCAAGCTTGCTCGGAACATAAGAAGTGGGGGACTTGTGTTAGGACATTAGGCCCTGGTCCAATACAAGCCCAAATACCCTTAACGGCCCGGCCCACAGACATCCATCTCTAATGTAGTCCTATGGGCGACCCACACGAGCATGGCCGAGTGGCCATATTTCCTCACTTGAACTCCCTACTCGATCCAAGTATTGTCCAAGTAAGAACTCCCCCAAACAATTGGCAAGAAACCTTAGAATTAGCGGGAAGCGCATTTAATGCATCAGGTATATATGGAAGATTTTATGGTTGGGGTCTATCCACTCAGGATTGGCCACGTCACCCCCTCCACCTACTTGTAGTATAAATAATAAATTTATTTCATTGTAAAGGATTTGCAACTTAGCATTCTCAAGCAATAAACTTCTCTCTAATTTTCTCAATAGATTTCGGCTTAGCATAGGGGGTCGGAACGCCATTCGAAATAAGTATTGTAATCGTTCTATTGATTTGAGTAGAACTGGATCCACTTGATTTTATTTGCTTGCCATTCTTTAATTCTTGTTGCCCTAAACACTCACTTAAATAATCACCTAACCAAGAAATTCCGATGAAGCCCAAAGGACTGTGTTGAGCCTTTGGAGCCTTTATATAAAATACATAGAGACCAAAAATTTACCAGACTAGAACAGACAATTAAGGCCAGACCAGAAAATTTATGTCCAAGTTAAAACATCCTAATCCTCAACAATCAAAATCTTTTTATAATGTTTACTGATATGTTCGTATTTCAACACGCATTTCATGCGTGTTGAGATTAATTTTTGTCACTTTTCCTAATTTATTAGAATTACAAAGCGTTTAATTAGTTCAAGTCACTGTTTACCGGGTTTTGGTGTTTTTAGAGTCAAGAATCAGGGAATTAAGCCCGGCACTGGCGTTTGAGAAGTAATCGAGAGAGTTGAGACGAATCTGAGAGTTGATTACGAGCATTAGAGGTCAATGAGGTGTTAAAGACGAAGTTTTGAAGACAAAAGAGCTCTAGGATTGACTATGAGATCAAAAAAAGACGAATAGAACTTGAAAATGGCGATCAGGATGACGTTCTATCAATCGTTTAAGCATATCTTTTTGTTGAAAGATTACAAGGGCACGATTTAAGTTTCCAATGAAAGATAACTTCGAGGGCTACAATTAATATGAATACACCAAGACAAGAATGTGAGAGGAGAACGGTGGGAACAGACGAGGAAGCTAAATTATAGATGTTGAGATTTCAGGATGCGAAATTCTACCATTTTATTCATATTTTTTGTTTGGGTTATCCAAACCCAGTGTTGAAAGTTGTGGTGGATAGAAGACTTCATTATCTACAACTATGGTAAAGAAAGAATAGTCAAATTAGGAAGATTAGTTAGGCAAGACGTGCACGCAGTCAGGCACGTCTCGCTAGAAGAAGAAAAACACGTAAAGGCTACTGGAGGGTAGGCATGCCGTGCCTGCCAGGGAGGCACGCCGTGCCTGGAAGTTTTACGCAACCTGTGCTCTAGAGGCACAGACGTACGCATGCCGTGTCTGGGCGCCATGCCTGCCGCCCCATAAATCCCGATTTGGCCCGGATTTGACTGTTTTCTATGAATACGGCCCGTAAACTCTTTTTTTGTTTTGTTTTTGTTACAAAGCTTATGGAGAGGCCTAGGACGAAATTTTGAGTAGATTTCCATGTAGTTATTCAAGACCCTAGAATTATTTGTAAGTTTCATCTTTTTAATTAATTACAATTAATTCTTTTCTTCTCAATTCTGTTGATTTCTCAATTATGAATTGTGAGTAGTTCTAATAAGGGATCTGTGATTGATGAAGAGATTAATTATGATCTAGGGTTAATTTCTCGATGGATTAATTGCATGATCTTTATTTAATTTGTGTTTGAAACTTGTTACATGAGAGATCAGCTTTGTTCTCTAAATTATTGTACTGTACGAAGCGAGAGCGGTAAAAATTTAGTATTGATTACGTTGCTCAATTAAATAATTTTCATGTGATTAAGCCTGATCAGCCAGAAATCTGATTACCTTGGAATCAATCCTTGTTCCCTATCGTCATTAATCAGAAAGAACTCAGTTATTCGCATTTTGATGTCCCACAAATCCAAATTTCGCACAATTGCATTTATTTTATTTTTTAATAGCTGAATTTAGTTAATTCCTGATTCCCCTTTTTCTGTCCTTGTGGAGACAATACTCGTACTAAAACCCTATATTACTATAACTTTTTAAGTGCGAGAAAATTCACATCAATTTTTGGCACTGTTGGCTGGGACAGTGTTGGTTTTAAGGGTTATTTATTTTCAACGGTACATTCTAGTTTTTATTTAGTTTTTTTCGTTGGATTATTCTTTGCTAAATTTTCAGGAAAAAATACTTTCTAAAGAGGCATGAGATGAACACATTCATCTCAATTCTTGGAAGAACACCTTACCCTCAAACCTCCATGGAATATTCACCATATACGTCATATCCTACCTACATTTCTCATCAATTTTATTCTCCTCATCAAGATTACTCTCATACACCACAAAATATTCAACCTTCTTATCCGTACCCTCCAACCACACTATCCTTCTAATATGATTCTTCTCATTATTATCCTTCATCAAAATATCCTTGGGTTAGAGTAAGACTCGGATCTATTCTTGAATATCTTCTCCAATCTAAAACTCTTGAGGAATTGTCTCATTACTTTCTTAAGAATAACACTTGTTCCTTCTGTGGAGGACGTCATCATTTATCCTTTTGCCGTGATAAACCTCCATATGATCATCCTTACAAAACAGTTGCATACACCAGTTCATCCTCTCGACAAATTATGAACACAAATGTTTCAGTCATTTCTATATCATTGCCCAGTAATGAGACACACAATCAATTAGAGGAGACAATTTCGGAAAACAAACAATAAAAACAACAAAGAAAGAAAGTCAACAAACCATAGGCTGGAGGAAGGCATGCGGGTGAAAAAGAAACCAATAGGTCAGCTGAAGTTGTAACTAATTACAAAAATGTTCGCTAGAGTCATTTACCGCTCCGCAGGAGGAATGCATGCAACCGTTGTACTAGGAGGCTGCAAAATAGAAAAAGCTCCCTGTCCATTGTACAATTTGACTCAAAACTTCATGAATGTAACAACATTTTGGGGTTTTGCTGATTCCTGAGTACCAGTTACTACATATAACGCAAGGGAACCTGTATCACAGGATTCCTAAGTCCCTCGTTTCAGAAACGTTCTCTGAACACCAGAAACCATACAGTTTTCGGACATTGAAAATATTTTCCCTTAATAACGGCGTTTCATAAACTCTGAACCTGAACTGCAAGAGTTTTCCCGTTTTGAGTTGTCTTCGGCATTAACTCCTACAAGCACTCGGAGTCTAAAAGAAGAATCAAACCTCTAACCCTTCCTCGTCTTCTCCTAGAGGTAATTCGCATCATCAGTTTTTTTGAGTTTATCATACTTTCTTCTCACACGCTGCTTTATTGTTTCCTGCAGCGCACACTCACTGATTTGCGCGGTAAATAAGTGTTGCTTTCTTCTCCCTCTTCTATGAAATCTATTGCTATTGTTTGTTTGAGGATCTAGTCCGAACAATCCTTTCTCTAAGTCGGTCATTCCATGAGTAAGAGGAGTTTGAGCCTTTGAGGTCCCTCTTTTAAAGCTCTTCTCGAAGCATCATGTTCAAATCAATAACTAGGATGATGTTTTAAGCTCCTGTTTTATGGTTGTATGAAGTGACGATATTTTCCATATCATATAACACAATATTAGTTTTGGGAAGCGTGTTCTTTGATCTTCAATACGTAGTCCTCGCTTTGTTCATATGGCATGTTCCGAAATTTAAGCTTGATTTTGTACAAGGTCAACCTTGGTGAGGGCTATCATGTAGAAAAAGGCACTTCTGTTGGAATGTCAAATTTGCTTTTGACGTATTGAGACTTCTAAGTTGAACAACCCTCTGAACTTGTTCCACGTTTTGTGAAAGTGCTCATAAGTAGGTAAAATTTGGGTTGAGTTCGGGAAGGAGGATGTTGGCTTTTGTGTGGACGAGTATTATGGGAAAGACAACCAAACAAAAAAAGGGTTATCTAGAGTACATTGGCATCCCCGCAAGGCGAGGGTCCGGGGAAGAACCCCACAATAAGGGTGTATAAGGAGCAAGCTTTCTCTTGTCATTTTGACAAGAGGCTGCTCCCAAGACTTGAACCCATAAACACACATATATGGAATGGTTCCTGTGAGAAAGGACTCCCAGGAGAGAAATGAGAGTGAATCTGGACCGTTGAATTATATTATATGAAATTGAATTGTGCATTTGGTTAAACTGAAATGTGAATTAAGTGAAATTGAAAGGTGCTGAATGAAATTAAACCTCAAATGTGCATTACGTGAAATTGGAATGTGCAGAATAAAAGGCACAAAAATACCACCACATCGTAACCGGTGCGCTAAGGCCCCCCTTTATTATGTCCTTCTATTCTAATCATGAGTGGACTTGTGTGTTTTAACAAAATATAGAAGGGTGTTTGTGTGCTATCTTATTGGAACATTTTTGTGCTCAGTGAAATGTTGTGTTCTTAGGAAGCATACAGTTGGAAGGGTTTCTTAAAACAGATGATGATGTGGTATTGTTGTCGTTTCTGTTGGGATGATGATTGTATTGTTATACTTGTTTTTGATTATCAAGAGCATCCCTTTTGATCTACTTATGAGTCGCTAAACATAGTAATTTACCAATTTCTTCTTATATTAGTAGTTCTATAAATTGTTGTTCAATTGAATTAATGAATGTCAAGATTTTAAACGAGAGATGCATGTGATGAAAATATTTTTTTCATACTTCTATAATCCATAGGGCCCTGTAGGATTGCATATTGTTTTGCATACAACTTGAAACTGAGAAATTTGGTGGGAATGCTTCTTATTGGTGATTTAGCATGTGACAAGCGAAGTTATTGTGTAATAACCTAATCATTTATCTATTGATAGATTCTTTTGGAATTTTAGGTGACAAATTTCAATCTTTGTGGAAGCAATGAGTGACTTAAGTCAGATTGAACTTGATACCAATTGGGATCAACTTGGTCTAACAGTAGAATACCAGAAATCTCACGCATTTCATACACCAGACATAATCATTGGTGTCGTTGACACCCGCATTTGTCCTACTTCCTCCTGTTTTTCGGATGTGGGTTTTCCACCATTACCCAAAGAAAAGAAGAATGGGAAAGCCGGATTCTAATGTTGTTGATTTTAAACGCAACAAGTTAGTTATTTTCTTATATTACAAACCAAAATATTGTATTATGTACATATATTATTTTTTATGACCTCACAGGTTACAAATTACTTGCAACAAAGATGTCGGGGCAAAAGTTTATGCTGAGGATGACAACGAAGGTCATAACTGCATACATGATTATGGTGGCCACGAGACTTCATGTGCTGCAATGGCTGTCGGTAATTATGTAGACATAGACCAGTCAGAGAAACATATAATAAGAGGTTGTATTCCTAGTGGCGGTCTCGCTATATACAAGCTCAACACTACTGCACATCCATCTCTACGTAATGTTATCAATGATGCTATAGATGATGGGGTAGATGTGCTAAGCACGTCTATCCGTCTTTCTGTAACGAAAAAGCATAGACCAGAACCGAGACCGACTCTTCTTCCAATTACTCATGATGAATGAGCTCTAGGAACACTTCGCGCCACAATTAAGGGAATATTGTGTGTTGTATCTACTGACAACTAACACGAGTGTTGAAATTTGGGAAGTTATGCCCCTTGGAAGATAACTTCCCAGTCTTCCACGGTCGTGCTCGTTGCCAGTAGACACAACACACAATATTCCCTTAATTATGGCGCGAAGTGTTCCTAGAGCTCATTCATCATAAGTAATTGGAGGAAGAGTCGGTCTCGGTTCTGGTCTATGCTTTTTTGTTACAGAAAGATGGATAGACGTACTTAGCACATCAACCCCATCATCTATAGCATCATTGATAGGATTGCGTAGACATGGAGGTGTTATAGTGTGGAGCTTGTATATAGCGAGACGACCACTATGAATACAACCTCTTATTATACGTTTCTCTTATTAGTCTGGGTCTATGTCTACATAATTACCGACAATAATTGCAGCACATGAAGTCCCGTGGCCACCATAATCTGTATGCGGTTATGACCTTCGTTGTTATCCTCAGCATAATCTTTTACCCCCACAACTTTGCTGCAAGTAATTTGTAACTTATAAGGTCATAAAAAAATAATATATGTACATAATACAAGTACTTTGGTTTGTTAGATAAGAAAATAAGTAACTTGTTGCATTTAAAATCAACAACATTAAATCCGCCTTTCCAATTCTTTTCTTTGGGTAATGGTGTAAAACCCTCATCCGAAAATAGGGGGAAGTAGGACAAATGTCGGTGTCAACGACACCAATGATTATGTTTGACATATGAAATGCGTGAGATTTCTGCTATTCTACTTTTAGACCAAGCTAATCCCAATTTGTATTGGTATCAAGTTCAATTTGACTTAAGTCACTTATTGCTTCCACAAAGATTGAAATTTGTCACCTAAAAGTCCAAATGAATATATCAACAGATTTCACAAATAGATAAATGATTAGGTTACTGCATAATAACTTCGCTTGTCACATGCTAAATCACAAATAAGAAGCATTCCCACCAAATTTCTCAATTTCAAATTGTATGCAAAACAATACGCAATCCTACAGGGCCCTATGGATTATAGAAGTACGAAACAACAGATTTTCATCACATGGATCTCATTTAAAGTTTTTGTATTCATAAATACAATTGAACAATAATTTATAGAACTCTTAATATAAGAAGAAATTGATAAATTACCATGTTTAGCAACTCATAAGTAGATCAAGAGGGATAGTTTTGATAATAAAAAATAAGTATAACAATACAATCACCATCCCAACAGAAACGCCGACGATACCTCATAATCATTTGTTTTAAGAAACCCTTCCAACTTTATACTCCCTAAGAACACAACATTTCATTAAGCACAAAAAATGTTCCAATCAGATAGCACACAAACATCCTTCTATATTTTGTTATAACGCACAAGTCCACTCATGATTAGAATGGAAGGATGGAATAAAGGGGAGCCTTAGCACACCGGTTACATTGTTGTGTGATTGAAAGGTCATGGGTTCAAATCTTGGGAGCGGCCTCTTGTCAAAATGACAAGAGAAAACTCGTTCCTTGTACACCCTTGTGGTGGGGTGCTTCCCTGGACCCTCGCCTCGCCTTGCAGGGATGTCAATGTGCACTAGGCTGCCCTTTTTTGTTTGGTTGTCTTTCCTATAATTATCGTCCACACAAAAGCCACCATCCTCCTCCCCGAACTCAACCCAAATTTGAATATTTTACCTATTTATGAGAACTTTCACAAAACGTGAAACAAGTTCAGAGGGTTGTTCAACTCAGAAGTCTCAGTAAGTCAATTAAATTTGACATTCCAACATAGAGGTGCCTTTTTCTACCTGGTAGCCAAACATGACCAAGATGGACCTTGTACAAAACCAAGTTTGAGTTTCGGAATCTGCCATATGAACAAAGTGAGGACTATTTATTGAAGATCAAAGAACATGCTTCCCAAAACTAATACTACGTATTGTGTTATACAATATGATATGGAAAATATCGTCACTTCATACAACCATAAAACACGAACTTAAAACATCATATCTGAACATGATGCTTCGAGAAGAGTTTCAAAAGAGTGACCTCAGAGGCTCAAACTCCTCTTACTCATGGATTGACTGACTAAGAGAAAGGATAATTCAGACTAGATCCTCAAGCTAACAATAGCAACACACAAACTTTTGAAGAAAAACAGCAACAACATCCAAACCTTAATTCCAAAAGAATTTGAGGACCTAAAACAAGTCATAATAAACTAGTAAACAAATATATGTGTGCGTGTAGTTTTTTACTCCAATACTTTTAAAGATTATATATATAGGGTTCAGTTCCAATAAAAAGTGGTCTTCCCATACAAATTGGGAACAACTCTATTTTTTATCATTTAAGTGCACTATTGCAATCATATTATTTTCGCCATCCACTTTTAGTACATGGGAAACAAATATTAAGACATAAACTCATACTCTTCTTAGCATAAAATATTAGTTGAATATTACCAAGAATACAATTACGAGCGAAGAAAGGTACTTTTGAGTTTTGACCACGATGAGTACCTGATGCATCGACAACTAAAACGCAATAAACATTAAAAACAGAGGTAGTGTGCTACAATACAACACCATTGATTTCATTGATACCGATGAGTCATAAAACAGACTCCGTATAAAAGTGGGCATAGAAGAGGGAGAAGAAAGCAACACTTATTTACTGCGCAAATCAGCGAGTGTGCGCAGGAAACAATAAAGCAGCGTGTGAGAAGACAGTATGATAAACTCGAAAAAACATATAATGCGAATTACCTCTAGCAGAAGACGAGGAAGGGTTTGGGTTTGATTCTTCTTTTAGACTCCGAGTGCTTGTAGGAGTTAAAGCCGAAGACAACTCAAAACGGGAAACTTTTGCGGTTCAGGTTCAAAGTTTATGAAACACGGGTATTAAGGGAAAATACTTTCAATGTTCGAAAACTATATGGTTTCTGTTGCTCAGAGAACGTTTCTGAAACGAGGGACTCAGGAATCCAGCGATCCAGGTTCCCTTGCGTTATACGTAGTAACTGCTACTCAAGAATCAACAAAACCCCAGAATGTTGTTACATTCATGAAGTTTCGAGTCAAATTGTACAATGGGCGGGGAGATTTTTCTATTTGGCAGCCTACTAGTACAACGGCCGCATGCACTCCTCCAACGGAGCGGTAAATGTCTCTAGCGAACATTTTTGTAATTAGTTAGAACTTCGGCTGACCTAGTGTTTTATTTTCCCCCCGCATGCTCTCCTCCACATGATCGTTTCTATGGTTTGTTGACTTTCTTTCTTTGTTTTTTTATTGTTTGTTCTCCTTTCTTTTTTACTTTTTCTTTAGCAACCGTTTTGCTTTAATTTTATATTCAACTAGTATTTTCACCTATGCGTTGCTCGGGATACATGGAATGTTCTAATTAAATAATATTTCATATGAAAGTGATGGAAGGACTCCATCCTTGCCTACTTTCTCCATTGCATCTACTATTAATTCTCCAATTTCCCTCTCACCATTTGCAGATATAGTTGCAACTACATAACCGCTCTGCTCTTCAAGTCATCAATTACAGTATGTCAGCATCAACAGCCATATTAATTCCACTGCACAAGTCCATTACATAAACACCGGCAGCTACAATTTTACAACCTTTGGTGTATATCCACTGAGTTAGCAAAGTAGCACAAGTGGTACCATCTCCACTCTCCAGCAACAGAATTGGTAGCATTAGCAACTTGATTCACAATTTCTGCACCAACATTCTTTGCCTTTTTCTAAAATTTAATACTTTTGACTACAGGGACACCCTCCTTTGTCACCTTAGGTTTCCCCCCAATACCCCACTACTTTTTAACGGAGCTTTTTATATGAACAGATGGTTTCTATCAGTTATGAAGATAAAGCTCAACCGTAAGAAATTGTTCTTTCTTAAAAAGATACGATTTCTGCACATTGACTTATTTAACTCACTTACATGATAGGATAGGCCAACGTTGCCTTTTATTGCTTTCTTTAGTTGATTCATAAGTACCATATAATCCTTTTTGTAAAATCAAAATTAAGCCCATTTAGATAACAGAGCAAGGGTGGAGTTGAGTGATTGACCCATGTCATGTTTTGGGTGTGCTGAGACTTCTTAATTTGTTAAGACTATGTGAGAGAGATTGATTACTAAGTCTTATACTCCATGAAAATTCATTAAAAAATAGACAGGGATAATAAAAACATATTTGTGGTTTGAAAGAGTGAATGGTAAACTTAATTTTCATAAATACTAATAGTAATAATATATCACCAGAATGTCTAATAACATCCAGATGTAGCCAAACTGATATATGCTCATTGTGAGCAGAACATTGGCTTTTAAATCAAGAAGTAGCAGGTCTTTTGCAAGAAATGTGTAGGTGAGCTAAATTATACTTTCTTCAATATATGTAAAAGTCAGATGTAAGAGGGATATTGCCATATATGAAGTATATATATTAGTGATCCTTAAAAACATCCATGTTTCCTGTGTTCTTTTCTGGAATTTGATTTCAAATAATGATGTATTCATCCGGAAACAGTCTCCCTGTACTTTAGTACAGAGGTAAGGCTGCGTACATCTGACCCCCCCTTACCCCACTTTAGGTGGGAGCCTTTTCAGAACTGGGGTAATGATGATGGTGTAGTGATGTATTCATGCTTAAAACTAATCTGTTTTAAACAACTTGCTAACTT